CCAAGATTTCTATATGGGAGGAGCATGAGATAGCAATTATTTTGGAATGTATGAGGGTAGGTGTTGTCTTGAACTGTGTTTGCACAGAAGCAAATTGAATTCACATAGATGGTATATTTATTTGGACTGGCTTGGGAAGGAGTTGATGAAGAATATAGAGAAGTTAATGTCCCCTCCCCATACCAAAAAAAAAAAAAAAAACCCAAAACGAAACACCAAACCTGTTCCCACTGAGTTGATTCCAACTCATAGTGAGTCTATAGGACAGAGCAGAACTGCCCCATAAGGTTTCCAAGGCTCTAATCTTTATGGGAGCAGACAGCCATATCTTTCCCCTGTAGAGTGACTGGTAGGCTGGAACCACCGACCTTTTGGTTAGCAGCTGAGTGCTTCACCATTGCATCACCAGGGCCCCTCCTTCCATATCAAAACTAAAACCAAAACCAAACTCACTGCCAAAAGTCAATTCCAGCTCATACAGATCCTACAGGACATAGTGGAATTGCCAAACTCTATGAGAGTTTCCAAGGCTGTAAATCTTTAGGGAAGCAGACTGCCCCATTTTTTCTCCCACAAAACAGCTCCCTCCAATACCAGCCACCGCTTAATCCACTGTACATCATCCCCACGTCAGCTTTTGTACTGATAACACAGCTCTAGGTCAGATAAAACCTGCTTTTTATTCTTAAAATAGTATCTTTTAATACCCTGTTCCTAAGACATGATTTAAAACTAGTCCATTACCTGTACAGTTGACCATATGTATTCCCATTTCATTTGAGTATTTTGATTGTAGCAGTAACAGTCTGACTTAGAACTTTTAATTAAATCTATTTCCTTCAAAGCTTTACACCTTGGAACTGAAAGACAGAGAAAGAACACATCTTAAATATTTAATTGCCCAGAATCTTATCTATCTATTTATTTATTATTCACAGGGGTGATTGTAGCAGTCTTAGCATTCTGTGACCAACAATTTCTTCTACATGGCAATTATAGTCATTCTGTCTTTTCAGCCTAGCAGGAGACAAACAGTCCAGAGTCAATATTCATATGACATATGAAAGGCCCTCTGAGAGTGTAGAGAACAGGCTCCTTTTCCATCCTAGAGTGGAGGGAAAGAATCAAAGGCAACTTTGCAGAAGAGATGACACGTGAGCAGAGCACTGAAAGGTAAGTAGGAGGCACTGAAGGATGGGAAGTGGTGGAGATGGGAAGTGTGTAAAAATCATGGAGATGAGAGAAATCATGTGAGTCAGCCATTCATAAAGATCAAGTGCAGAGAACATACGAGGACATTCAACACCTGAAGCTAGAAAGGTGAGCAGTGGACTTCATCCTGAAAGCAGAGCATGGAAGGATTTCAGGTAAGTGTCAGAGTTTTAACAGGAAACTCTGGACACTCAAAAGTGTTTAACTGAAAAAGTTCCAGCAAAGATGTGGACAGGCAGGGTGAGGTTTCCACGTACCGGCAAAAAGCATGAACTCTTGAATACCAATGGCCTGAAACAGTAAGGGCAGGACCCAATGTTACTGGAGCTACAAGAATGATAATCAAATGGAACACAGTCACTGCCAGAAGTCCAGTGGAATCATGGTGTGAGGGTATTGGAACCTCAACCTCTCTCCTGCCCTCCTGTCAGTGCCTCTCATTGGTCAGACCCAACAGGAAGCTAGAGAGCAAAGGAGCCCAGGTGACGCAGGCCATGAATGTCGGCATCCAGGCACAGAGCTGGGGAGAGAAGGGCAGAGGTCTGCGGGACAGAAAATAACTCAGTGAAGAAATGACAGGAGCACATTATAGAGCAATCTATAAGCAGTGTGAAATATTAGATGGGAAGAAGACTGAAAGCAGGAGAACCACTAAGGAGGCAATAAAGCAACATAAGCAAGAAATGAACTAAGGCAAAGGAACAGATTAAAGAGCATTTAGAAAGTAGAACCAGCAGAATTTGGAGATTCA